GAGCTTGGAGAGTTCCAGTGAACAAAGACCATTCTGAAAGAGGGAAGGCGTAGTAGAAAATAAGGTACAAGAAGGAGGCAGGGGCCAGATTAAGTATGAGAACCACAATAATGAGTTTGGGTTTTATTCCAAGTGTGGTGGAAAGGAGGAGGATAGCCTGATTTTTTTCAAATTAAGTTTTCATTTACAGTTGACACTCAATATTATATTAGTTTCAGGTATACAGCATAGTGGTTAGACATTTATATAATTTATGGAGTGATACCCCTGATAAGTCTTGCCACCCACCTGACACCATATGTAGTTATTACAATATTATTGATTACATTCTCTATGCTGTACTCTACATCTCCATGACTATTTTGTAACTACCAATTCATACTTCTTAATCCCCTCACCTTTTTCAAACAGTCCCCCAACCACCCTCCCATCTGGCAACCGTCAGTTTGTTCTCTGGATCTATAAGTTTGTTTCTGTTTTGTTTGTTCATTTATTTTGTTTTTTAGAATCCATGTATAAGTGAGATCATATGGTATTTGTCTTTCTCTGTCAGGCTTATTTCACTTAGCACAATAGCTTCTAGGTTCACCTGTGTTGTCGCAAATGATGAGTTTTCGTGCTTTTTTATGGTCAAGTAATATTCCATTGTATATTTGTATCGCCTCTTCTTTATCTACTTGTCTTTCGATTGGAGCATTTAATCCATTTGCATTTAAAATAATTGATAAGTATGTGGTTATTGCCATTTTAGTGTTTTCTGATTGTTTTTATAGCTCTTCTCTGTTCCTTCCTTATTTTGTTGTCCTCTTCTCTGGATGATTTTCTATAGTGTTGTGTTTGGATTCCTTTCTCCTATTTCTTGTATATCTCTTGTAGACTTTTGGTTTGTGATTACCATGTGCTTCATACATACCAAGCTATGTTTATAGCAGTCTATTTTAAGTCAGTTATGGTCACTTAAGTTAAAACACATTCTAAAATCACTACCCTTTTTTATCACCTGCTCCAAGTTTATGTTTTTGTCATTATATTTTGCTTTTTTTTGTGTGTACCCTTAATTTACTGTTGTAATTGTAATTACACATGATCATTCTGCTTTTATTTTTAATCTACTAGCTTTAGTGTTGGTTGACCCACTGCTTTTATTACGTGTTTGCCTTTGTCAGCGAAAAATTTTTTCTTTGCAATATTTCCTTATTCATATTTTTATTTTTTTTCTTCATCTCCTTAAAGAAATTCCTCTAACATTTCTTGTAATACTGGTTTGGTGGTCATGAATTCCTTCAGCTTTTTCTTATCTGGGTAGTTCTTTATCTTCGATTCTAAATGATAGTCTTGCTGGTAGAGTAATCTTAGTGGTAGGTCCTTGCTTTTCATTATTTTGAATATTTTGTGCCAAGCTCTTCCAGCCTGAAAAATCAGCTGTTGAGAAATCAGCCTACAGTCTTAGAGGAGCTCCCTTGTAAGTAACTACTTATCTCTTGCTGCTTTTAAGATTCTCTCTTTGTCTTTAACATTGAGCATTTTAATTATAATATGTCTTGGTGTGGGTTTCTTTGGGTTCCTCTTGTTGGGGACACTCTGCACTTCGGGGGTTCTATGTCTGTTTCCTTCACCAGGTTAGGGAAGTTTTCCACCATTATTTTTTCAAATAGATTTTTCAATCCCTTGCTCTCTCTCTTCTTCTGGTACCCCTATGATGTGAATGTTGCTACAATTGTCCCAGAGATCCCTTAAACAATCCTCATTTTTTTAAAATTGTTTTTCTTTTTGTTATTCTGATTGAGTGTTTTTTGCTACCTTGTCTTCCAAATCACTGATTTGATTCTCTGCTTCATCTCATTTGCTGTTGATTCCATCTAATGTATTCTTCATTTCTGACTAGTTCTTTTCCATGTTTTCTATTTCTTTGTTTCCTATCTCTTTGTTGAAGTTCTCATTGAGATCATCTATTCTTCTCCTATGTTCATTAACTATCCTTATAACCAGTATTTTGAACTCTGCATCTAGTAGATTGCTTGTGCCCATTTTCTTTAGTTTTTTTTTTTTCTGGAGTTTCATCTCGTTCTTTCATGTGGGACATGTTTCTATGTCATTTTGGCTGCCTCCCTGTGTTTGTTCCTATGTGTTAAGTAGATATGCTACATCTCTGTCTTGAAAGACTGGCCTTATATAATAGGTGTACTGCGTGGCTCAGTGTCTCAGCATCCCTGGTCACCTGAGCCAGGTGCTCCAGGGGTGTCCTTTGTGTGTGATGTGTGTGCTCTCCTGTTGTACTTGAGCCTTGATTGCTGTTGACACTTAGTGGGTGGTATTGACCCTCAGGCTGTCTGGTTGGGAGGACTGGCCATGACTACAGTGGAGGAGCTTTTGTGCAAAGCCTGACCCTGTGGAGTGGGATTCACTTTGTCAGGGCTCTGGTGCCTGCAGAGTCCACTCTCTGGGTGTGTCATTTGTGGCACTAATTGGGTGGTGCTCTGGTGTGGTCTGAAGCCAGCAACCAGGTATGTTGGTTCTGGGGCTCCTTGGGAGTGGTTCGGTGCAGGTCCAGGTCAGCCACTGCCTGTGCATGACCCAGGGCCACCTAGTTGGAGCTACAAAGTGACCTGTGGTTGGTAACTGCCTGTGCTGGGTTTTCAGATACCTGGGAGAGGCTGTACTGTGAACCAAGGCCAGCTGTCACTAGTGCCGGGCTTGGGGTTGCTTAGCAAGAGGTGCAGGGCACACTGAGGCCAGCTGCTGCTTGTTTGGAGTTTGTGGACCTTTGGGAGATTTTAGAAAAGTCCACAACACAGGCAGCTATTTGTATGAATTAGTCTCTGAAAGAGGTTCAGGCTGACCTATGAATTGGGTGTGGCAGGGTCTCAGAGAATAACCAACGTGGAGTAAGAGCAGTGTTAGCTAGGTTAATGGAGACTCAGATTTGGTGCTGTCCTGTGCCTGCAGGCTGTAAGGAATGTGGGAGGGCTCGCCAAAGGAACAATTGCACTTGCCGCCATTTTAGTTCCTGAGAGAGCTGCCCCTTTAGCCGTTGCCCTGAAGCTGGACAATTTAGTTCCTACTCGTAGGTTACAGGCACTTTCTGAGCTGCTGTCCTTCCCTGGAGCTTAGGGTAAGTGTTTTTGAGCGAGTGAGTCTGTGTTCGGGCCCTTTAAACCCATTTCTGTTTAGAAAAAAGCTCAACTTGCTGCCAGTGTTAATTTAATTTTACCTAAACTTGCTCTTTAAGGTTGAAGGAAATCTGACTAGTTTTCGATGTGAAAATAAAACATAAAAACTGTTCTTGGAGTTATTTCTAAACAGAACTTGTTTCTAATCCTAATGTAACAGAAATGTATACATAATTTAGATTCATCAAATGAATCTTCAGCTAACAACTGTTCATGAATGATGTTGATGTCATGTGTAGGAATATTACGTTTTCTGGGATTTGACATATTTGGCAATTGAGAATTACTATATTTTGTAAATGGAAATACCACTACTAAAAACAGAATGCCATAAATAGAATGATGTCATTTGTTTCCAAAGACTGTTGCTATACTAGAGTGATACAAAAATAATAATAAAAGTGAGATATTTCGTGGCAAACTTTGGGGGTAGATTAGGACTGTAATCCACCAGTATTCTTAGGGCAAACGGGAAATGGATTAAGAGGACACTTGGGTCAACAGCAGCCTTCCAACTCATCCAGACTGAGTCGCTGCTGATTTACACAGCCAGATTTCGTGGGTAACTCACTTCCCGGCATTAGTGCTCCAGGCTGAGATAGAGTCCAAATGCCTCGCCGATGTATTGGAAATTGGTAGGAGAAACTCAAAGATATCTCTTATCTTTTAGGGCAGTGATAGATGCCATCATTTTTCCAAATTTAAGATGGTGAGACAAGTGGTAGAGAGAAAAGCAAGTGAAGGAAGGTGCTTGGTCTGATTGCCTCGTTCATTGTCCCTTTCTGGCAGCTCTCTGGGATCTGAGCTCTCGCATCTGAAGGCAGACATCCTATCTTGGGGTTCACCCCCCTAAATCTACTTCCTCCTCTGAGAAAGAGCAAAATCTCATTTGACACACCACCCACACCCTAGTCTCCCTCATAGCACAAGGATCTCTATTTGTGATTTAATCTAGTTTTTCTCTAGGTTTCTAGGATATTTATTCCAGATTAGTGTTAATTTTGGAAAACATATCTTGTGAGTACAGAGGGCTTTTTGGATGAAGATTTTTTTTTCGGTGTGGCTGTGTAGCACAGTGGAAAGAGCAGCGAACTTAGAGTTCAACTTTGAAATGGATCTACTTTGACCCTAGAACTGCTAGCTGTGTGTCTTGGGCAAAATCATTATTTCTCTGTTAACCCTCAGTTTCCCATCTGTAAAATCCAGTGCCTTTCTGACATTGCTACGTGGATTAATTGTGACATTGGATATGAGGCTGCTTCTGAATTTACCACATGCTATACAAATGTGTCAGGTATTTTTACTCTATAAGAACACTTTAAGTATCTAAAATGCCAGTTTTTCTGCAGGAACTTTTCGGCATGAGGGAACCCGACGACAACATTGTGCTGATAGAAGATTCAGATGAGGAAGATACATCTGTGGACTATCGGTAAGAGGCTAATGTTGATATAAGTAATAGAGACCTAGAACACACTTTTATTAAGTAAAACTAAAACAAGAGAAATAACATCTCAAATATTTTCGTCCATCAGAATGAAAACAAACCAACCATCGAATCCAGACGAGCAATCTACTAGTCTGAATTCCCTTTCCCAGCTAATATAATTCATATTTTTCCAACTGAATATAAATACAAATGCTTGGCTTTTTATTTAAAAAAAAACAATTAATAGAGCAAAATTAACTGACAGATTTAATGACTTTCAAGTTAAGACAGTACATTTAAAAATAGTGCTTGATTCTTTTTTCTTGAAACACTTTTAAATGGTAGAAGAAAAAGTATGCATTGTGGTAACTTCTATATACAGATTATCCCTCTTTTTGCAAATCTAATCTGTTCTTTAACACTTGGTTAGTAACAAATTTTCAGAGAACAGCCAGCATTCCATTATTTTGAGTGGGAAAAACAAAAATGCATTCTTAACCCACAGGAAAATGCCAATTTGTCAAATATCACTAAAACCCCTTTATACACCTATTTAACAATCCACTAAGGATTTCTGTAAAACAGAAATTACTTCTAATCTTATCTACTTATTTAATACTTGACAAATTCATTAGTAAATTTGTTTGTATGTACTAAGCCATAATATTATCCTCTACTCAGTGTATAGTATTGGGAATGGGTTACGTTTTCTTTCCACATCACAGTGTACATGTACATGTAAATAAATAACAATACATTAAAGATGTGCATTACCTGCCAGTAATACTTAGCAAAATAAAATAAACATGATAGTTTTTCAAGAGGTTTCTTATGATTGAAGACATGTTTGTGTGAGGTCTGGTGGTGACAGGAGGGAGCTGGAGGCTGTGGTCACTGTTACTATTTGGTGGTGGGAGGAGGTAAGGTAGAAAGAGCTGGTGAAGAAACGAGTTAAACAGGAAATGTCTGAGATACATCTGTGTTTGGATCTAAGGAACCAGGGGAGAATCTTTCTTTCCTGGAGGAGAGTTAAGAGGTGTTTGGCTGTGAACCATTGTCTAAAGTTACACACAGGGCAATGGGATGAAAAGCAGAGCTCACAGTGGCACTCTGTTTGCATTCCCTTTGCTTGGTGTTCTACAGTTCTCACTAACAGAAGACTGCATTTGTACATTGAATGTGACAGGTCTGCTCATACCATGATCACACTCACTTGCACAAGCAAAATTTTTTTTTACAAGGATTTTAAATTTCTTGTAAATATTCAGCATTTGTATTTGTGGTTCATAGGCATTGGGGACATGTGCATGGCCAACCTTAAGATAATTGCCATTCGACTTTCCTTTTTGTTTGTTTGTCCCAGCTGTATTGAAGTATAATAGACAATTAGTAGCTCATATTTACATTGTACAATTCAATGAGTTTTTAAAAATTATAGTTGGCATACAATAATATATTAGTTTCAGTTGTAGAATAATGATTAGATATCTATATGACTCATGAAGTAAATCAGGTACCCCTCTTCTCCCTCACATATTTTTTTACAACACCGTTGGCTATTTTCCTTATGCTACACTTCATATCATCATAACTATTTTGTATCTATCCATTTGTACTTCTTAATCCCTTTGCCTTTTTTCACTGTTCCCCCAACCTCCCCTCCTGTCTAGTACCCCTCAAAATATTCTCTGTATCTATAAGTTTGTTTCCATTGTTGTTGTTGTTGTTGATTTTGTTCTCTAGATTCCACATGTACGTGAAGTCATATGGTATTTGTCTTTCTCTATATGACTTACTTCATTCAGCACAATACCCTCTGTGTCCATCAAAGCAATACTTTCTCCATCCTTTTCCTTTTAGTCTCTTTGTGTCTTTTAATCTGAAGTGAGTCTCTTATAGGCAACATATGTAGGGGTCTTGTTTTCTTATCCATTCAGCTTCCTTATCTTTTGGTTGGAGCACTTAATTCTTTTCCATTTCAGGTACTTGTTGACAAATATGTAGTTATTACCATTCTTTATTCATGTTTTTGATACATGTTTTTTTTTCTTCTTAAAGAAGTCCCTCCAACATTTCCTGTACCACTCACTGGCTTGGTGCTGATGAATTCCTTTAGTTTATTTTTTGTCTGGGAAGCTTTTTAGCTGTCCTTCAACTCTAAATGATAGTTTTGCTGGATAAAGTATTCCTAGTTGTAGATCCAGGATTTTCAACACTTTGAATATTTTGTGCCAAGCCCTTCTGTCTTGCTTAGTTTCTTTTGAGAAATTGGCTGCCAGTCTTAGGTGCTCCCTTATGGGTGCTCCCTTGTAGGTAACTAACTTCTTTTCCTTTGCTGCTTTTAAGATTCTCTCTTTGTACTTAACCTTTGGCATTTTAATTATGATGAGTCTTGCTGTGGGACTCTTTGAGTTCATCTTTTTGGGGACTCTCTGAGCTTCCTGGGGTTGTATGTCTATTTCTTTCACTAGGTTAAGGAAGCTATTTCTCCAAATAGCTCTTTAACCATTGTTCCCTTTCAGGTACCCTATGACCCAGATGTTTTTACATTTAATTTTGTCCTATAGGCTCCTTAAATTATCATTATACTCTTGTCTTCTTTTTCCTTGCATTCTGATTGAGTGTTCTTGGCTTCTCCATCCTCTATATCAGTGGTTCGATCCTCTTCTTTATCCACTGTGTTGATTCCCTCTAATATACTCTTCATCTCAGATAATGTGTTCTTCATTTCTGACTGGTTCCCTTTTATAGTTTCCATTTCCATTTTTGTGGATTTTTTCTCTTTGTTAAAGTTCTCACTGAATTCATCTACACTTCCCATAAGTTCTTTGAGCTTCTTTAGAACCAGTATTTTGAACTCTGCATCTGTTAAATAACTGGACTCCATTATTCCTGGATCTGTTCTGTTTTCTCATATGGTTTCTGCTTCTTTGTCTTCCCATTTTGGCTGCCTTTCTGTGTCTACTTCTATGTACTAAGCAAAGCTCCTAAGTCTCCCGGTTTTATTAGTGTGGTTTCGTGTAGTAGGTGTCTAGTGGCACAGTCCTGAGAGGGGTTCAGCTGCAGGCCAAGTTTAGCCCCCAGCCTGTGCCCCTCCGGGGCCACCTCTTAAGATTGAGCAAGCAATCCATAGATGTTGTGCTTATAGTTGCCTCAAGAAGCGACGCCAGAAACTGAGGTCAAGTGCCACCAGTGTGGGTCTTTGTGCTGCTCAGCAAGGGGCACCTGACTAAGTGAGGACACACCTGGATGTGGCTTGGGTGGGGTCATGAGTTGGGGGAGGCGACGTTTCAGGGAATCCTCTGGGTGGGGCGACCTCTGTTACCCAGTTTGATGATCTCTCAACTTTGTTGGTGCTGTGTTTGCACACTGGAAGTGGAGAGGGCTCAGTACAGGAACAATAGATACTGCCACCTCTTCTGTCCAGGAGAGAGCCTCACCCTGGCCCTGATTCTGACAACTCAGTGTCCCCCTGTCAGTCCCTGTTGCTCACTTGCGCCGCCCCCCCCACCGCAGCAGCTAACCTGGCATTGGTGCTCAGAGGGAGCAGGTCTGTCACCGTGAAAGTCCACTCACAGACACGGCCCCTTTAAAAGGCGTCAGCACCTGCCACTGCTATGGCCTCTGTCCCACTCAGCCTCTGGGGACTGGGCAGTCTCACATCTTCACCCCCTCCTACCTTCTTCCGTTGCAGAGTGATTTCTTAATTCTCTCCCTAGTTGTTGGGCTTCTGTTCATCTAGGGCCCCAGGCGATTCTGCTTGCTGTTTGCTCTGTTTCCATTCCAACTTTGATGTGATTGCAAGAGGGATAACAGAGTCTCTATCATCTACGCCATTTTGCCCAGTCTCCATTCAACTCTCTTAATGTGTTTTATCCCTCTCAATTTTTCTTGTAATGCATGTGCTTATTTAGTCCTCTTAGGCTTGCCCATTTCCTTCATTAGTTTCTCTACTTTATTAGAAGACCTTTTCCTGACAATGTGGAGAAGAAAATATCATAAAACATAACATGTTTAAAAATGTGAACTCTCAGGAGAATAGCTGAGATACAATATCAGCAAACCATATTCTTTTGCTTAGGAGCACATGACTTAAACATTTTCTTGCATGCAACCTATAGATTTATATAGTAGGTTTGGGTAGTGAATTTTTGTGTTTATTATCATATCATTATAGCAGATATTCAGATAGTGAGAGCTCAGAGTGAGGAGGTCTGCATTTTATTTTTAAGTAGAGCTTAATTGAATGAAAAACATTCCGATGCAGAAATGAGCCAATTATTACATCTATGCCACAGATCTCCACAGAATATAAGAAAAGTGTTTACTTGAAGCCTAAAATCATATCCTTTCTAATATTGCAAGAAATTGTCACTCCAGTGTGGATGAATGCACTATAGTTGTATATATTCTATACTTTCATAAAATATTACTAAAGTTCTTTCAAAAATTAGGCAATGGATTGTTTACCATGTAGGCAGTAAGATGGAAAAATGGCACTTAGGAAAGCAGTGATGGATTTGATGAAGAAAATTCTGTCCATTTCAGTTCCCTATCCCTCGTATCTCTCCCCTCTCTTTCAACGGCCACTGTTCTGGCTTCAACCACCTCGGCTCTCACATGATGGATCGTTGGTGGACATTGTTCATCCACTAGCCTGAGGTCTGTAAGGGAGGCACTGTCAGCCTCATTTTTTTCTAGCACAGAGCCTGACATTGAATAGGCAGAAACGAACATTTGCTCAGGGACTGACTGATTAAATGATCTTATCAAAGTGGTAATCCATTCCATGCCATGAGACCTTTCAAACATAACACAGTATTGTTATAAATTTGTACAAACCAGTATTGCCTTAATTTTTCATAGATGTCTTCCTTGTCCTCAGGATATTTTCAAATAAAAAGAAGAAGAGATTATGGCATGTCAGGGTTGTAGTTTGCAGGCACACCGAACACTCATTGATAATCTGGCTCCCACTTTGTAGTGTAAGGGATGGTTAGAAA